TAAAAAAAACTTTCAATAGTGATTTGGGTGAAATTTTACAAAGCAGATTTCTTTTACACTCAATTGTTCATGCACATTTTGTTCTGTGACACTGGTTATGTTCCCTGGAGTGTTAACAGCTCTCGTCCCACTTCCTCCCACTGGTTACCCTTTCCATTTCCTTCTTGCCTATGCATTTCTGCATGCCTACCTTTCTCCCTATGCAAATGCTGTCCTTTGATCTCCCATGGGAGATTATTCTAAGGAGGGTATCTCCCTGGTATAGGTGTTCAGCTCGTAGGCCTGTCTATGTTTTGGCTGAGAATTAAGCCACAAGAGTGAGTTCAATCCCAGGCCTGAAGGGTGACTCAGGGCCATAGTCTCAGTGGTTTCACTGGTCTCTGTCAGTCTGGTAAGCCTACTCTTTATGATTTTGAGATTTGTTTCACATTTTTCTCCCACTCTATCCAGGATCTCTAATATGGATCCCTTTTTGAGTGGTTGGCAGTGGTAGCCAGGCTGTATCTAGTTCTTCTGGTCTCAGTGTCATTTAGGCTGAGGTTCTCATGGTCCATTAGTCATCTGGACTCAATTTTTCTGTGCATCTGTGGCTTTCTTTATCTGTGCTCCGGACGAGGAGAGACCAATAGTCGCTATTTAGATGGCCGTTTGTAAGCTTTTAAGACCCCGGTTGCAACTCCCTGAAGTAAAATGTAGAACAGTGTTTTTGTTTAGCATGTGGTGCCAGTTTAGCTTGATGTCCCCAGTGGCTATGGTCCACAGAGTGCAGGCCAAGCAACTCACTCCCTCAAAATGCTTACTTGTGGCTATGAAGTTCTCCTGATTTTGCCTCCTCTTACGTTTAAACTACATATGGATTTATACCACATACAAATATATATGTATGAATATCATCTGCCAAACCTATGCATGGTCATGGATATATTCACATTTGCCTGTCCATACCTGATCTTCTTGCCTGTCCACCTGTGTAGATTTAATGATTTTTATAATATTTGTGATGTTTGAAACAGTTACCTTCTCAAAGATCAGGATAGGGAACATGCTGTGGTAAGGGGCTATTAATTGTATCTTAATTTAAAAAAAAAGTTAATTGTAGTAATCTAATGAAGTACTTATATATTGGTGCAGTTCTTAAGACACCTCTCCAATTGTGGTCATATTTTTAGTTGTAATCATTTGATAATTATTGCACAGCATTCGATACATGTCTTAGTGGCCTCTCATAAAAAAAAATCTCTCTCTTTTATGCCAAAGTACATATTTTCTGTCATGAATAGTAGTGAAGGAAATTAAGAGGAATCTGAAGAACACAAGTTTTATAGGTGTTTTGAGCCCAAAAGTACACTTGCAAGTAATGTGATAGTAGAACATTCATGGTTATCAAAATAACTTATTGTTTTAAAATTTGTTGTAGGCATCTCCTTTGTGAGCAAACATTAAGCATGACACTTATAGGGAAGAGTGAAAATCAGGGTTTTACCTTTTGAAAATTTTTATCAATTTCTTCAGTCTGGAATTGACCAAACATGCAATCAAGGTATGCTGATTATCACTGGTGACTGGAATGCAAAGTTGGAAACAAAGAAGAATCACTGGTAGTTGGAAAATTTGGCCCTGGAGATAGAAATGATGCTGGAGATCGCATGATAGCATTTTGCAAGACCAACGACTTATTCACTGCAAATACCTTATTTTCAACAACACAAATGGGAGCTATACACGTGGACTTCTCCAGATGGAATACACAGGAATCAGATTGACTACATCTGTGGCAAGAGGCAATGGAGAAGCTCAATGTCTTCAGCCAAAACAAGGCCAGGAGCTGTAACAGACCATCAGCTGCTCATTTGCAAGTTCAAATTGAAGTTGAAGACAATTAAAACAAGTCCACAAGAGCCAAAATAGGACCTTTATTATATCCTCTAAATTTAGAGACCATTTAAAGAATAGATTTGATGCATTGAACACCATTGAAAACCAGAGAAATTGTGTGATGACATCAAGAACATCATCCATGTAGAAAGCAAAGGTCATTAAAAAGATGAGAAAGGAAGAAAAGACCAGAATGGATGTCAGAAGAGACTCTGAAACTTGCTCTTGAATGGAGAGTAGCTAAAGCAAAT